TATAATAATTCAATTTCGATCGTTCCTTTCAAAATTCTGTTTCGCATATTTTTAGGACAAGGGATATCATTCGAATTTTTAGAATCACATTTCAATTAACATGCATGGAGGTATAGACAGGTTTATAACGACAGGTGGTGTAAATGCAATTTCTAGTGTATATGATCTACAGCCCAGAATGATTATGAAATAATTTTCCACAAAAATATTTACATATGACTTTGTATACAGATCGACAGATAATGAATGAAAAACATTGTTCGGTTGAGTTTTAAAAAAGAGGGTTTCCAAGCTAAGTTATTATTTACTCTTCCTTGCTAAAGTTTGAGGAGTTTCTGCACCGGTTACTCCAAACAATTATAGACCTGAACGAGCTTTGAAGAGAAATTAAATCATAATGCGACTGGTGTGCTGCGAGAAATTCGAAGTTTTAATGTTTTAGAAATCGTGCCACTTTTATATTCTATATAATTATTTGTGAAAACGTTTAACGATATCACGTTAATACGTAATTTAATTTAGACTGTACTTTTAAAACTTTGAAGTTTATAAAGACAGATTGTCTAAATACAATTTCCAGTCTACGGCCCAGAATGCTTTCAATAATATAGCACAAAAATATTAACTACAGATAGTCCTATGTATAGAAAACATTGTTGGGTTAAGTTTTAAGAAAAAGGTTTTGTCCAAGCATTTGTATCTTGCAGCGTTTTAACCATAAAAAATCCGACCACAGCATATTTATATGCCCGACCGGCTGTTCTAGAACAGAATAAAGTTCTACATGGATATTTACCCACCGAATTATCGGCTAGTTTCGACTCTGACCACGCTTGCTTTCGTCAACTACGTCTGTATAATAGCACAGTAGCAGAAATATTCGATGAAGTAAGAAATATTCGATGTTAGTAATTAGAATTTTCTGTGAACGTTAAATCACATTTGAAAGTAAACCTTACAGGGTTTCGACAACTGAGCCTCAGTTCACATTTATTCTAATGCTACGATTTTCATGGTCTGTATTTTCCAACTTCCAGACAGTTCATATTATAATATATTGTAGGACTAACTCCCATGACGAAAGCCTTAGGTCATTTAGGGCGGTTGTTATACCACATTTGATTCGAAGTTGTTTGAAGAGGCCGCTGCTCCCTAGTTATATTGCCTACATCATGAGAAATACCACAAAATCGTTAATGATTGATCCACCAACTCACAGGCATTACCATCGAAAATAAACACCTATTATGGTGGATTTCCATTCAGTGTGAAGTATCGCGATCGACTTTTTGCGATCCCTTTCCTTTGAAATATTGACAATCAGACGGAATTAATCCTATTAGTTGAGCTCGACTGGGAATATTTGAGAGGAAAGCGATTGCAAAAAATCGATGCACGACATTTTGCACTGAATGAAAATTGCGTTCAACGAAGAAGAATCCTTATTAACCGTGACAGCTGAATTTTTTTAAATTTTTGTTTGGTATTTGCCTCGCTTTCGTGTTTTCGCCTTCGGATTTCGTGGTGCGTCGTAATTTTATGTGCTTGACGTATTTTGCGATTAAAGCTGTTGTTTATGACAGGGCATTTAGGCTTTAATGATATTCGTCTGTTTATTCAAGAAATTGTAGAAATTGCATGGATTAATACTTTTGATCTTGAAGTGTTTGAAATATGAGTGAGGATTCTCATCCAAGCATTTGTATTTTGCAGTGTTTTAACGATAAGAAATCCGACCATGCACAGTATATTTATATGCCCGACTGTTTTCTTTTTTATGTATATAAGTTTTCAAAAGGTTTACCTAACGGGACTTATATACATACACGCAACATAAAGTACTTGGAGAAGAGTATTAAAATGAGCTTGCAGTTCTTTGTTTGTTTATTTCGTACTAACTACAAAGCCCGTAAAAGCAGTGATTACTGGGATTACTAGCAAACAACGATTTCATGCAAAATTAAAAAATATATGATATAATTTATCGGCAATTTCTGAAATTCGCCTTGTAGCTAATTATAAACTCTGAATTTCCCCCTAATTCTCGCAAAATCGCGCTAAAATTCCAAGACCGCTAAATGCTGACATCAAAGACTCGAATTTACGTTTGTTGTCATGAAAATTAGCTTCGATCACACTTGGGTCACTGAAAATGTGTTTACACCGCCAGACTGACCTGAGACTTACCTAGGACTTACCTAATACCATGTTTTCAGGCCACCTCTAATGCTTGGCCTGCAATCATTGTCTTAGGTTGGTCCTAGGTCGGTCTTAGGTCAGTCCTAGTGCGTTTACACTACAAGACTAACTGCTTAAGTTAGGTCTTAGGTCAGGTATAGGTCTCTAGTGTAAACACTGCTTTAAACGGCCATGAACTAAGTATAATAACTTGTTGAGAACAATGAAATGTGGATTAGCTTTGACACATGACTTTCAGAGTTTCCATCTTCAATTCTCTATATGTCGTGCATGAAACGCTAGGGGAAGTGTGTCAAGGGGAAATGCGATATTTTGCATGCCTGGTAAGTTTAATTATAACTTGTGACGGTGATTTGTGACAATGTCGTGTTTGTATATGAGACGGAGCCAATATTTCTTGAGGGCAAATTAATGACCATCAGAAAAATCTGTCATCAAGCTAAAATAGCTGCAATGTGTTGATTTTATGCGAAGCTATACATAATTTGGGTTCGGTGGCGGATCCAGAGTAAGGCAGAAAAATTTATTACAGCTTATTAAAAAATAGAATTCATAAAGAATTCATAATCAACAGGTTGTTTTGAATTTAAAATGAGTCGTCTGTCTAATTTATTCAACCCTGCATGGACTACCACTGTATGGGATCAGACTTTGAGAAAGTCATCGAGCAAGAACTGCAGGGTGTCCAAAAAAACCCAAAACCAATGAAATCACCCATAACAATGTAATAGCTAGAGTTTGAATGCCTATAAGCAACCTTTTAGGACCCACAAATGTATAAATGTTTGAAATAAGCATTTTTGTGCTTGATGCATGACAGTAAAATATGTTGCTATACCCAAAAATGACTTTTATTACCAATACGCTTTACAAATAATGATAACAATTTTTAAATTTACAACTCAAGCACCATGACCTTCAACATGTCCTTAAATCTGTAGCAAATTTTAAATTTTTGTAGGCTTATTTAGCATTTTATAAGTTGCGTTAATCCCCAATTTTATCAAAAATATTACAAAATTATATCTCCATTTGGTCTATTATGTTAAGATTAGGAGTTAACCCATCAAACTTCCAAATGTTGAGAAGCAAAACTCATTATTTTTTAACGAGAACTGTTAGCGTCGCGCCAGTGAGTTCATGCAATAAAGTCATGACCTAATTTGAATTACAAGGTATATTACAATCTCAAAATAAAAGAATTATTAATTTTACAACTTTATTGGATAACAATACCCAAGCGGCAAGAGTGCGAACGGGACCTTTAGACCCATGCGAGGCAACTCTCCCGTATTTAACATGCAGCTACAGTATTACACAAAACACACACATCTAGACACATAAGCACGTTGCAATTGTTAAATTACGCAACAGACAAGTCCTGGTGACAGAAACAACTACGATGTAATGACCAAGTGCAAGTCATGTCAACCTCAAAACTAGAGATTAGCAAATTTAAGTAAGTTTTCGACAAAAATTTTTTGAACGAAGACAGACTGTGAAGATCACTAGGCAAGCCTACTTTACAAACACGATTCCAAAGGGGGACAATTCGGTTGAAATAGGAGGACTTGAAGGTGTTGGTTCTGCATGACGGAACTTTTAGTAGAAGCGAAGGGTTATTACAGTTACGAGTTCTACTATGACCAACGAATGACACATAACTTGAGACATCCAAATCATAAAATCCATACAACGCCTTGTAGAAGAAAATCAAGTCTTTTATTTCTCTATCGTACGCCATGGGTATAAGGTGAAGGGAGAGAGAATTATTATTCTAATATGGAGGGGATATTATTCTAAATGTATTTATTATTAAATAATAAAGGAAGTTAATGTTATACGGGTCTTCGTATCGTAGTGTCTCGGGTCTTAGGACGCTGGTCCGGGCGGTTACTTGCCCCCTCCGGTGAGTATAAATATGAGCCCAGTTTGCCTGATCGAGTTGTTAGTTGCTTGCGTGACCCATCCCTCCCTTTCCCCTAACGACTTCATGCGATGTTGTGAACTCTACGGGAGAAGCGTCTTATTAATCTCGTTGGGGTTTTTTTTTTGTTTTTTTTTTTTAGTTTGTTTTGCAGGATTGAGCACAGTTCTTTTCACACCCGTTTTGGTCGTTGAATTGGTGTTTGGGGTAAAGGTAAATTCATTAATGATCGCCACATTTACAGGTATTTTTCTTCTTTTTGTGTGTGTGTGTACTTTGATGTTCGTATCGTTTATTCCACGGTTTCACTTCAGTGACTCACGTGTGACAGTTGATCACGGGAGGGAGGAGGTACCGTTAAAATAGCATGGTTCGTAGAGTTATTATCTGCGCCGAAAACAGCAAACTCAAAAGAAACACCGTTTCACCCCTAGCCCGATCGTTTCGCTCGGATACCGTCTCCATCCCTACCGATCGGCAGCGGGCAAAAATATAGTGTAAGAGCTGGTGTGCTATCGTACTGATGTGAGCCTTAGGATCCGTTAGAACGTTAATATGGATTAAAAACGGAAACTGCTGAGAACAAAGAATCAGAAGAAGCATGCATGCAGTAAAAACTCGAACGCTGCTATTCGGCAGGTCCAAGATTTGTATTTTTTGCCATTGCTTTTCTTGACAATATTAATTACATTTTGGTCTCAAATCATTCACAAATCTGGAACCCCTATAGTATTCGGTCCTCAATTTAGGGCTATTAATGTGGCGTTTACATGGCAATGAGTTTGTTTGTTCCGTTGTTTTGTTTAAAAAATTTATTCCTGTTTTTCATTATAAAAGCAACCAGGGGAACTAAACATCATCATTTTCAGGAGGAAACGGCGACAAAAGGTACAACGAACTAACTGCGTCTGTGCTCCCAAATTTCAATCGTTGTCATCAGAATGGCTGGTCCCAAAACGTTACTCACAATTCTAGTGATAGTTTGCCACGTCCACGCGAGCTGTAGCTTAGCTGAAAGCACCGTAGAAGCAGGGTGAGTCTATACATTTTAATATAAATGACAAATATCTTGGTTTCTTCATTTCTACAAGGTCTTGAGAACACAAACTGGTTGCGATGTATTTAATGTGAGAGAATTTACGATGCCCAACATCGCTACCTACATATTTTGCCTACATATAGGGAAATTATACATGCGTTCAGGACTTTTGAACTATCAAGCGTTCAGTTTCAAATAATATGCAGAACGCCCTATGAAGAACGCTCGAGTTGCAGTTGCTTCTAATCTCGAGAGACTGCGAAAATGCTAAAATTTATGGCGCCAAAATGCCTAATTTTTTTCTGTCTTATTCAGAACTTTAGTCAGTGGCGTCGCCAGCATCGATAAGTGTGGTGGACATACTCATATATCCATGTTCACAGACCGTTAAAAGTTAACACAATCAATTTGAAGACAAATGAATAATGTGAGACACGAATATATGAATAAGTCCCCCCCCCTTATCAAGCTGGCGACGCCACTGGCTTTAAGGCGGATTTCCACTTACAGCGAAATCATTCGTTAGCGAAATATTTGCATGTTTTCTTTTGAATTCAGAACAGTCAAGTCGCACTAATTCATTTATGCTGTTAAAATTCAAAAGAAAATATGCAAATATTTTGCTAGCGAACGATTTCGCTGTAAGTGGAAATCCACCTTTAAGGCGGATTTCCACTTACAGCGAAATTGTTCGCTAGCGAAATATTTGCATATTTTCTTTTGAATTGAGAACAGTCAAGTCGCACTAATCTATTTATGCAGTTTAAATTCAAAAGAAAATATGGAAATATTTCGCTAGCGAACGATTTCGCTGTATGTGGAAATCCGCCTTTAGTCTTGCGTATGGTGTGTCTTTGTGTCGTCGAGTAGCACAACCTCGCAAAGGAGGTTTTTGGAGTTTCGTAAATCGTAAATTCTCTCTCGTAAAATCGTAAAATCTCTACTTTTTGCTCACACAGTGCATGGATCATTGTGCTCAGAACTCATGCACAAAGGCCTCTTCTATATGCTGTAAACTGCTTCTTGATCCGAGGTTATAGCAGTGCATGGGCGGCAAAATTTAGGCCTGAAAAATTTGCATGCCTAGAAATAGTTAACCTAAAATAATAATGGATCTGACACTTGTGCAAGCTTTACCTATATTTTACTTGTAAGAATTCTCGCAATGAAATAAGAATTCATATTATTACATACGATAATTTGGAATAATATTATTTCTGTATAAAGTTCTGCGATAAGATATATTTGCTTATAATTATATAATACATGTTTAATGCTTTATATAGTCATGAACTTTATATAGTCAAATGTTAAAAGAAATCTTCATTATTTCGGATAATATTATTATAAGAATTCAAAGAAAATTTCATATTGAACGACGATTATTTCTCGCCAAAATTAGTTGTATAATGTCAAGCTCTAGTTTTTTAAGTCCCAGTCAATATTGGGAGCAAGGAATTAAAGAAATATAATCTTACAGTTAAATTGCAAATGAAAGCAAGATGGCATTTCAGTTAAATGAAATAATTTTATTATATTTGTCGTAGTTCAGAATAGATGAGCTATATAGAATGGGTTAAGTCCCGATCAGTCAGACATAAATAATTTTCTTCTTGCAACAGGCAAAATGATGAAAACGATCATCCTACAAACGGTGGTTGTGCACGTGGCTTACCAGGACGAGACGGTACGTGCCTAAAGGATGCATTTGAAAATATTAAGAGATCTTAATAAATTACGTAGTTCAGACAAACGCTGAGGTCAGTCAGCTGTGCATCTTAATGAAAAATTATGGATTTTTCTAAAATAAGGTGAATCACTGCTATATTTAGTTTTTTCCTGTTAATTTCTTCAGAAAAAAAAATGAAAAAAAATAATTCATTTACCTAAAATCCCCAATTCTCAGTTCATACTTAAAAGATCGTGCAACTCTATTTCTTATAGGACGAGATGGCCGTGACAGCATAGCTCCAGGTATAGTATGTTTTCTCGTTTTCTTGCAATGAAATATTGACTGGATTCTAATACAAATTGATAAATTTTATCAAAATTTTGCGAAATGACAATTACTCAGCGACGTTTGAAAATACAAATTTTTGTGTCGAACAGTCAAGAGCTTAGTAGTTCAGACTGGGGCATGCGCATAACGTAAAAGACCGTCCATGGCGTGAAGCCCATTGCATAATGGCGGACCACTTTTATTTCGCATTTGCAAATCGTTTGTGTAAATATCCGCGTGGAATTAGTACCCTCGCACGGTGCTCCGCACTGGCTCGGGGACTACACAGCGAAATTTCAAATTCCGTATACCTTTCCAACAGCAGCATTGGTCATTCATCTCTAAGGCCGAAATACTTTTTCTATAAAAAGCTGCGCCAATATGTGGAAACTAATTCTCACTTCGAATAAATTTGCATAATTCTATAGGCCCACCTGGCAGAACCGGTTCTCCTGGAAGTCGTGGTGCTCCGGGCCCACCAGGCAATAGTGGAGGCACAGTGTACACAAGATGGGGGAAAAAGACATGCCCAAATGGAGCAACTCTTATATATTCAGGTACAAATTCGTCCAACAGGAACATTATAACTAAACAGTCAAGCAATGAACAGTGGTAAATTCTGCACTTTAATTGAAATTTGCCGTCATATTGTAGAAAACAAAGTGGGTTTTTTCACTCGGTTAATTGATATTTTGCCGTATAAATTTCACACTCAGTTAGTAGCGAAGTATTTTTTTTAAACATGCTTTGTATTATTGGGTTGCATGATGACGTCAAAATTCCAGTGGGGTTAACTCGAAATCGAGGCACGGTAAATTGAATTAAGTTAATTGTTCACTGTTTGTGCTGGCTTTGTGCTTCGTAAACATTATTTCGTAAATAATGCTTCGTATTATTTGCTCACACCTGTGCAGGATAAGGGTAAAAGGTACGTTGACGCCCAATCAAATCACTATGAACACAATACGTTAAACCCACCCATAGCGAAAAAGTTAGATCTGCGAGAATATCCGCCGTTCTTCAAAACAAAAGTATATAATTGTGTAGGTAACGTTTTTGGAATTGGTTGAAATTTTCACTTACAAGCAATTTTTGCCTAAATTCAGGTGTCATGGGTGGATCTCACTATACTCATAACGGTGGTGGCTCAAACTATCTCTGCATGCCTCTTGATCCAATCTACGATAAGGTAAAAGCTGGCAGCCAAGTTTCTTCTTACATTTTTGGTGTTGAATATGAAATGAACGTACATGCGTCTTTGTTTCCAAACAACCTTCATGATCAAGATGCGACGTGCGCTGTTTGTGAAGCTGAGAATCGTGCCAGCCATCTTATGATACCTGCACGTAATGTCTGTCCATCTGGGTGGACTCTTGAGTACAGAGGTTATCTAATGTCTGAACACATCGGTCATAAACGAACACAATTCATTTGTGTTGATTCTGATCCTGAGGCTGTTCAAGGAACTCAGAGTAACTTGAACGGGGGGTTGTTGTATGTCGTTGAGAGTCACTGCGGTTCTCTGCCATGTTTGCCTTATGTACAAGGCCAGGAACTGACATGCGCTGTGTGCACCAAGTAAACTTACAGGTTTACACTATATTTCAATCGTTTTTTACAATGTTATTCACAATGTAACTTGAAGCAATAAAGAATCTGTTACAATCGCGTTTTTGTTTTGAAGTCCACCTCGGAAATGGAATGTTGATGTTTTTATTGATGTTTATATTACAAAATGATATTTAGATTTTCCTTTCATAGCCAAGCAGGCCGTATTTTCTATAACTAAGGCGAAACAAGTCTGTTTGTATTCAAGTCTGTTTTTTAAGGTCAAGATTATTTTAAGTTACATTATATGTGATCAGTGACACATCAAAGGTAAGAGAGAAAAATTTTCATTTAAAGCTATGCTTAGCCTTAAAAAATAATATTTTTACCCGTGTGATTTATCTTTTCTAATGTATGATCAATGTACAATCAAACACATATTATTAAGTACATATAATTGCAAAAGATGAAAATTTCACTAATTTACAAGATTGCTGTGTTCGATCGAGATCAGTTTAAGCACAGCTAGTATACGTTTACAACATTCCTAAACTGTGAAAATGATAATAGTTTTCGTATATTTTCGAGAAGGCTGTTCCAAAATCTTGCTCCTCTCTATTGAAAACTTCTGTTTAGGTAATGTTTACGTGGCTTAGCAGTTAAATATCTGCAAAGAACTTACTCTCGAAGTGATTTCTGAGATTATTTTGTCGAACAAACATTCATCGCTGGATTAGAACTGAAGCCTGCTACACACTGTCCTAGGAATCAAGGATTCTCAGTGCGTAAAAAGCTTTGTCCATCGCCGGAAAATTATACAACAGATTCGCCATTCTTAGGAGCTAGTATGAATCAGGCCTTAACAACAACCACACAAACATTGTGCATTAACAGCTTCAACGGTATAACGACTGTCAAATCATGGTTAATCAAATGGCAATTGGTTATCATAATCTAATCTGTTAATGGTCACAGCATAACCATGCTGGCAAAGGGGGAAAATTCAATACTATATAAATACAACCGTCTTTACTATATTAGGGTCTTTAATAGCGCGACTACAGACAACGGACTGCGAACGTGATGCAATTAGGACTGGGACGAGGCATCACGGTTTTCCTCTGGCTCTGAGTAATCGTCTTCGTCTGGGACGGTTCGTAGTCGGCCATTTTGCGTTGTGTGTGCAAAGGTGAGTACATATATTCCTTTTTTGTGAATAGAATGTTGGAAGTCATTTTCTACTTCTTTGTAATATTTATTATAAACGCCACTATCCCTTCAGTACAATGAAATTTTGAAAGTCTTGAGTTTAATTTCGTTTTTTATCGGCGTTTTATTTATATGGTACTTTAAACATGGTTAACATCCAGTCTGGGAATAAAGTTGAGCTTCATTTTGCATTTTGCAGATCAAATCTGAGAATTTTGTCCGCTAACCCATAGACGAAGACGTCTTCTAGTTTTTGGAAAGACATTTCGCAATAATTATTGGTTTACAAGCAATATCATACGTAGTGACTCCCGCCGTAATGTTTGCACAACTTCAGTAACTTAAAGATTCAATTTCGCGCGACTACGTCCGTACTCATCCCAGGGGTTCGGGTACAGGAAACACGCGGTCAACCGTAGTCCGTTGTCAGTAGTCGCGCAACTTAAAGTCCCTATTTTCTTCAACAAAACAACACTCAGCCGTGCACTCAACCGCAATCAATTGTTTGGCATATTATATACTGTATAGGACTAACTCCCATGACGAAGGCCTTAGGTCTTTTAGGACGGTTGTTATACCACATTTTATCCGAATTTGTTTGAAGAAGCCGCCACACTGCTCCCTGATTATATTGCCTATATCATGGGAAATGCCACAAAATCGTTATAGCAAAGTGTGGCGCGATCGACCTTTTTGCGATAGTTTATTTCTGAAATATCTACAATCCGGTGAAACTAACAATTATTAATCCCATTAGATGAGCTTTATTGGGCACATTTGAGAGGCAGCGATCGCAAAAGGTTGATTATATTGTGCGACATTTTACACTGAATGGAAATTGCGTTCGGCAAGAAGAACGCTCCTAAATCGTGACGTCACGGCTTGATGTTTTGAATTTCTGTTTGGTATTTGCCTCGCTTTCGTGTTTTCGCGTTTGCTTCGACTTCCGGATTGCGTGGTGCGTCGTAATTTTATGTGCTATATATATAGTGTATATATATATATATAATTATATATATTATATATATTATATATATATATAATTATATATATATATATTATATATATTATATATATCCGCAGTATATAATTATATATATATATATATATATATATATATATATATATATATATATATATATATATATATATATATATATAAGTTTCCAAAAGAAATACTGCATGATAGAAATAACATAAAATTCTATATGAATATTTATCCACCGAATTATCGGCTCTAGTTACGGATAGCAAGACCACTGCATGCACTGGCATTACAAAAGCGTAAATTCGATTCGTGCTGAATGACCGATATTTGACACATTTTTCTTAACTTTTTCTGCATCACTTGAATTTGAAATGTGTATGATTTCCACTTATTCCAGAATTGGAACGCGCGTAGTATAAGTGTTATAGTAAAATATGTTTTAAGTTCAATTAAACGGTCATAAACTAAGAATTATAACTTGTTGAAGACAATGAAATGTGGATTAGCCATTGACACATGACTTTCAGAGTTTCCATCTTTAATTCACTATATATTATGCCGTGCATGAAACGCTAGGGGAATTGTGTCTAGGGGAAATGCGATATTTTGCCTGGTAAATTTAATAATAACTTGTGACGGTGATTTGTGAAAATGACATGCTTGTATATTAGACGGAGCCAATATTTCGTGAGGACAATTTAATGACCATCAGAAACTTCTGTCATTAAGCTAAGATAGCTGCAATGTGTTGATTTTATGCGAAGCTATACGTAATATGGGTTCGGTGGCGGATCCGGACTAAGGCAGAAAAATTTATTACAGCTTATTATTGCAATCGGTCACATATTCACATTGGTACGTCTTCATTAAAAAATACCCATTAGTATTATCCAAACTACACAAAAATTACCCAAAAATACCCGTAAAAATACCCACATTCATAATCAACAGGTTGTTTTGAATTTAAAATGAAGCCGTCTGTGTAATTTCTTCAACCCTGCATGGACTGCTACTGTATGGGAACAGACTTTGACACATAAATGTTTATGATCAAGTAACAAATTCGAGCCAAAACTAGTAATATTTATATATTCTTCGCTATTCACTCATGTTGCAAACAAAATCCTTTTCTTTTAACCAAAATAATTTGCGTGGCAACAGTGAGATTTTACAACGTTTACCTATGACTTATTTGAATCACAAGGACTTTATTACACCCACTGTGTGTATACAATATTCATTAAGCTAATCGTGGATGAATAAACTAAGGAAACTGCTCTCAAAAAAGACTAAAACGTAATAATTACCAAATGAAGATATCAGTTTGTCGTTAGTTGAACACGAATAACGAATAACAAAAAATCTTAAATCTTAATCAGCTCGTTCCCAGGCCCATTAAATAAAATAAATATAGGAACACAACAGGCTTGTGCACTCTGGTAATTTATTGTACTTTTTCGTCATTCGATTTTCATACCACAGGATTTGGCACAACAACGAATTATGATCGAAATTTGGATTACGACCCTAATTATGACATATGAAAATCATCCTTATATATAACCATGTAAGGTTAAAAGTGTGCATGCAAACTGCACGCACCCGTGTGCGCTGGGCTTCATTTAAAAAAAACCCAGCAATATCAATTAAGGATGTGATTACAATTGACAATACTTAATCTAGTAGAGCCAATAAAATATATACAACTTGGTGATTATTTACATACTTTAAAAAAGTATAAGTGTTTATTTGTGACTTTTACTTTTGCCTGGTCCTCATCGTGTTTTCTTATTCGCCGAATGCAGATACGTGATTGCTATTTTGTGTCTTAAGCCGGTTTTCCACTAGCGATATTTTTCGCGCGAAGCGACATTTTACTTTTGTTTCAGAGCTCTCAACTGCAACCATCTGGAACAAATTGCTCAAATACAAAGGAATAAAGTCGCTTTGCGCGAAGAATATCGCTAGTGGAAAACCGGCTTTACACGATCAGAGTTATGGAACAAATTACGAAAATTATATCTGCATTAATTTTGGTCCATTATGTTAAGATTAGAAGCAGTTAACCCATCGACCTTCCAAATGTTTAAAAGCAAAAAGTCTATTATTTTTATTTAACGAGAATCTGTTAGCGTCGCGCCAGTGAGTTGATAAAAAATAAAGTTATGACCTAATTTGAATTACAAGGCTAGCCCGTTATATTACAATCTCAAAATAAAATTATTATTATGCTGATAAGGATTAACAACGGAAATTCCTGATAACAAAGAATCAGAAGAAGTAGTAAAAATTCGAGTGCTGGTACTCGGCTGCAGTGTCCCAGACTTGTGAATTTTTTAAGTCCAACTCTTTCACGTACACTATGGTCGTTGGTTGACATTACTAATGACATTTTGGCCTCAAATATTCACAAAACGGGAACCCCTGGTATTCGGGCCTCAAGGATTATAATTATATTATTCGCCATTCACTCATGTTGCAGACAAAAGTCTTTTTTTAACCAAGATAATTTGCGTGGCGCCAGCGAAATCTTACAACGTTTACCTATGACTTATTTGAATCACAAGGACTTTATTACACCCACTGTGTGTATACAATATTCATTAAGCTGATAGTGGATAAATAAATTAAGGAGACCGCTCTCAAAAAAGACTGAAACGTAATATTTACCAAATGAAGATATCAGTTTGTCGTTAGTTGAGCACGAATAACGAAAAAAAATCTTAAGTCTTAATCAGCCTCGTTCGCAGGCGCTTTAAATAAAATATATATAGGAACACTACAGGCTTGTGCCCTCTGGTAATTTATTGTACTTTTTCGTCATTCGATTTTCATATCACAGGATTTGGCATAACAACAAATTATGAAATGAGTTGATAAAATAAAGTTGCGACCTGATTTGAATTACAAGGCAAGCTCATTAATGATATTACAATCTGAAAATAAAATCATTATTATGCTGATGAGGATTAACAACTGAAATTGCTGAGAACAAAGAATCAGAAGAAGTAGTAAAAATTCGAGTGCTGGTACTCTGCAGTGTTCCAGATTTGTGAATTTTTTAAGCCTAACTTTCTCACGTACACTATGGCCGTTTGTTGACCATACTAATGACATTTTCGCCTCAAATATTTACAAAACGGGAGCCCCAGGTATTCGGGCCTCAAGAGTTATTAATAATGACGTATGCTAATCAGTTTGTTCCATTTTTTTTAAGTTTATTCCTGTTTTTCATTAAAAACGCAACCAGTGGAACTAAACGCTGTCATTTTAAGCAAGAGACGCCGACGAAAGGTACAACAAACTAACTGCGTCTGTGCTCCCAAATTTCAATCGTTGTCATCAGAATGGCTGGTCCCAAAACGTTTTTTGCAGTTCTAGTGATAGTTTGCCACGTCCACGCGAGCTATAGCGCTAGCTTAGCTGAAAACGTCGTAGAAGCAGGGTGAGTCTGCTCATTTTAAACTCAGTGACAAAATAACTTCAACTAAATTTCACGTAGGAAATTAAGTTTATTCATTTTAAAAAGGTCTTGAGAACACAAACAGGTTGCGTTATATTTAATATGAGAGAATTTTCGATGCTCAACATCGCTAGCTACATCTTCTGCCTAAAATTTGCTAAGGAATATATACATATACATTATTACATGAGTCATAGAATGAGTTAAGTGGTGATCAGTCTGACATAGACCATTCTCTCCTTGTCACAGGCGAAATGATGAAAACGATCTTCCTAGAAATGGGGGTTGTAAACGTGGCTTTCCAGAACAAGACGGTACATGCTTAAAATATACTTGTTGAATACAAGGGATCTTGATATTATGTAGCTAGTTCAGACAATTAGGTCAGTTAGGTATACATCTTATTGAAAACATTATGGATTTTTCTGAGATAAGGGGAATCAAACGAATGAAAACACATCACTACTATATTTATTAATTTCCTAAATCTCATTTCATAGTTTTAAAGTCGTGCAACTCTATTTCTCATAGGGCGAGATGACTGTGACAGGCACTTTTGAAATCAGTTCTTACGCTTTTTTTTTCATTCGCCACAAACCAATATTCACGTGTAATCACTTTGTTTGAGGTTTAAAAATAGAAAACAAATTGACCGATGGTCGGCTCTTATTTCTGATTCAAACATAATTTTGACCTATTTTTTAGATTCGTAAAATAAACCTTTGAAGTTTAAACTTCGAGAGAATATCATGCATGTAATAAGCGGCGTTTAATTTAAATAATGTTTATTATTTTTTAAAGCTTGCGAGATGTCCAGGCCTTGGCAAAAGTTTTAAACGTAGCTACTATAACATTACTTGAGTATGATTTTTGTCAAAGTTGTCATACTAATCAACTGAGTAGATCTGTGTAACACGCGAGAACGAAAACGCGATTTCGGAATAAACAACACTCAATTCTAGTGTGGCCTCAATTCTAGTGTAACTGGACTAAATTACCAAGTCTTAAGTTCTCTTTCGACTGATTCGTTGTTTTATTTATAGCCGGGTGGAGAGAAATTGGAACGGGATGTGTTGGTTCAAGAGGTAACCATTTTGCACTTCTGACATACAAGGAAACCTCTGGTTTTGTTAGTGCATTTAGGCTGACTCACGTCCGTGGAAGAATCGGATGCTCTGCAGGTGCTCGAACAAATTGGGGATGTAATAGTCGTCACCGCACTAATATGTATGTCACAGATATTAACAACGTGGTTATGTATCCGTCTCCTGTATTAACCAAGCCTTATCAAAAAGGTGGTTGGTATCACCTACCTGGCTATGACGAAAATTCACCTAAGCTGGTGTTTTCAGATGTTGGCACAAGGTTCATTTATTCAGGCCAACAAATTCGAGTCTGGTATGGTGAAGATCTTTATGGTTATACAGAGGCTGACAACCATGGACTCACGTGCTTCAAGGCTGAACTTTATTTTCTTCCTTAGCCCTTTCTTATAGATCAATGCAGACTCGTTTATATTTGTTGTTACGTAATTGGTAAAGGCTTTTGTTTTGTGTGTAATTTCTCAATTTTTTTCATTCGAAAAAATAATACATTTTCATTATAAGGATTATTTCTATTGCATTCAATGATGCTTTTTAATATGAATTATTGGGTGAGGTTTAGATTATGAGAAACAATGGCGAAATTCCAATGTCACATTGTCATTAAACCAAAGTGCAGCTCAATTGCTTCTCGGCACAGAATACCCATAAGAGAGAATTGGTCATGATTCTCAAATAAGCAAATACCATAAATAGAGGCAATAATTATATTGCCAATATTTGAAATGGCGCCATTTTAATATATTGGCACGGGAGTGTCACACCTACGCAAAAAACAATGCAGTTCCCTTCTGGAGCCGGTTGTTCGAAGGGCGTTTAGCTTAAATGGTGGATAAGTTCAAAATAGAAAACAAATTTATCGATTTATTGAACAACCGGGCTGAAATATTTTGATGTAAATAATTTAATTTTCAATGGAAGTACAAATTATACGCGTGAGATGCAGGTTGAGCCATACCCAAGTTGTATGAGAGTTTTTTAAACTTTGGCTTATCCACCGTTTAAGCTAAACGCTTATCGAACAACCGGCCACTGATGGGTATAATTTTTTTATTCTGTATTAACAGCCTAACAGATCGCGGATTCTGGCTCTAAAATCGTTGAAAGAAGCATACTTTGTAGCAATGAATTTTGCGCCAAAATGGTGTCGTTGGCTCACAGCAGTTGACAAACTTTTAAGAAAAATTATATGATCGCGTCAGCAAAAAATCACAGGAATGACGAAGCCCGTGCTCGTACAGTCGTATGTGCAGTCTTTGCAAAAGCTGCCTATTTTCGGGCAAGCGATTGTAGAAGCAAACTGTAAGTGCAGTTGACGGCGTTCCACACAAGGGTGCAAAGAAACGTATTCCATCGCGGGTAAATTGCACTCCTTACAGCATGCGCCTTTAATTAAGGGGAGATTTTAAAAAGATTAAATTTGTTTGGAGGAGAAAAGGTTTAACCATTAAGAATGAAGGTATGATATAACTACAAGAGAATTGGTTGAAATATTGATAACTAAACATATATTGTTAGTCCACCGGTACATTCGATGAGCTTGACTGGGCACATTTGAGAGGAGAGCGATCGCAAAAGGTCGATTGCGCGACATTTTGCACTGAATGAAAATTGCGTTCGGCAAAAAAGAACGCTTCCAAATCGTGACGTCACGGCTGGAATTTGAATTTCTGTTTGGTATTTGCCTCGCCTTGCTTCGACTTCCAGATTTCGTGTTGCGTCGTAATTTTATGTGCTTTACATATTTTGGAGAGGATTCTTATCTAAGCATTTGTATCTTGCAGTGTTTTAACGACAAGAAATCCGACTACAGTATAATTATTTATATGCCCGACTGTTCTCTTTTTTATGCATATAAGTTTCCAAGAGAAATACTGCATACAGAATAAAAGAGAAAAAATTCTATATGAATATTTATCCACCGAATTATCAGCTCTAGTTACGCGGCACAGTAGCAAGACCACTGCATGCACTGGCATTACAAAAGCGCAAATTCGATTCCTGCTGAACGACCGATATTTGACACATTTTTCTCAACTTTTTCTGCATCACTTGAATTTGAAATGTGTATGATTTTCATTTATTGCAGAATTGGAACGCGCGTAGTATAAATGTTATACTAAACTATGTTTTAAGCTCAAGTAAACGGTCATAAACTAAGAAATTTAACTTGTTGAAACAATGAAATGTTGACTAGCTTTGACGCATGACTTTCAGAGTTTCTATTTTCAATTCACTATACATATGTCGTGCATGAAACGCTAGGGGAAGTGTGTCTAGGGGAAATGCGATATTTTGCCTGGTAAATTTAATTATAACTTGTGACGGTGATTTGTGACAATGACATGTTTGTATGTATTAGACGGAGCCAATATTTCGTGAGGACAATTTAATGACCATCAGAATTTTGAGGACCTGTCATCAAGCTAAAATAGCTGCAATGTGTTGATATTATGCGAAGCTACATGCATAAAATGGGTTCGGTGGCGGATCCAGAGATAGAAAAAATGATTGCAGCTTATAATCGCAATCACACATACAGGGTGAGTCAAAAAAAACGGACACTTTGAAATTCAAATTAGTCGCATAGCGGCTTTAATGTGACAGAATTTGCTTAAAATATTTCATAGGTACACGAAGCATATCATATTAATTAACCTAAGACATAAAGTTTGTTCCCATTGGGAGTTAAAATGCATTCTAAGCTCTGTAAATACAAAAGAACAGTATTATCAAATCGTTTTTGCTGATTGTACATGGGAATTGTCATATTCCAGCCATAAGTTCGCAGCTAATTTGAATTTCAAAGGTGTCCGTTTTTTTTACTCACCCTGTATATTTACATTGGTACGTTTTTATTAAAAAATACCCATAAGGAATTCATAATCACCAGTTTGTTTTGAATTTAAAAATAAATGAAGTCGTAATTTATGTGAAGTGTGTAATTTATTCAACCCTGCATGGACTGCCACTCTATGGGATCAGACTTTGACACATAAATGTTTATGATCAAGTAACAAATTCGAGCCAAAACTAGTAAGGCTTATATATATTCTTTGCCATTCATTCTTGTTGCAGACAAAAAACTTTTCTTTTAACCAAGATGATTTGCGTGGCGCCAGTGAGATTTTACAACGTTTACCTATGACTTATTTGAATCACAAGGACTTTATTACACCCACTGTGTGTATACAATATTAATTAAGCTAATCGTGGATGAATAAAGGAAACTGCTTTAAAAAAAACTCAAACGTAATAATTACCAAAGGGAGATATCAGTTTCTCGTTAGTTGAGCACTAATTACGAATAATAAAAATCTTAGTCTTAATCAGCCTCGTTCCCAAGCGCGTTAAATGAAATAAATACAAGAACACTACAGGCTTGTGCACTCTTGTAATTTATTGCACTTTTTCGTCATTCGATTTTCATATCACAGGATTTGGCACAACAGCGAATTATGCCATTTGGATTACGACCCCAATTATGACATAAAATTCATCCTTATATAACCATGCAAGTTTAAAAGTGTGCATGTAAACTGCACGCACCCGTGTGCGCTGGGTTTCATTAAAAAAAAACTAGCAATACAAAGCATGTGATCACAATTAACAATACTTAATCTAATAGAGCCAATAAAGTATACATACAGCTTAGCGATAATTTATATATTTTAAAAAAGTAAGCGTTTATTTGAGACTTTTACTTTTGCCTGGTCTCGTCATGTTTTCTAATTCGCCAAATGCGGATACGTGATTGCTATTTTGTGTCATACACGCTCAGTGTTATGGAACAAACTACAAAATTATACCTCCATTAATTTTGGTTCATTGTGTTAAGATTAGAAGCAGTTAAACCATCGACCTTCCAAATGTTTAAAAGCAAAAATCTACTATTTTTATTGAACGAGAGTCTGTTAGCGTCGGGCCAGTGAGTTGATAAAATAAAGTTATGACCTAATTTGAATTACAAGGCAAGCACATTATATTAAAATCTCAAAATAAAATCACTATTATGCTGATGAGGATTAACAACGGAAATTGCTGAGAACAAGTGAATGACAAGGACTTTATTACACCCACTGTGTGTATACAATATACATTAAGCTAACGTGGATTAAGACTCAAAAACGTAATGATTACCAAAATGAAGATATCAATTTGTCGTTAGTTGAGCACGAATTACGAAAGACAAAAAATCTTAAGTTTTAATCAGCCTCGTTCGCAGGCGCTTTGAAAAATAAAATAAATATAGGAACACTATAGGCTTGTGCACTCTGGTAATATATTGTACTTTTTCGTTATTCGATTTTAATATCACGGGATTTGGCACAACAGCGAATTATGACATTTGGATTACGACCCCAACTATGACATATGAAAATCATCCTTATAATTTATAACAATGCAAGGTTAAAAGTATGCATGCAAACTGCACGTACCCGACTACCTGTGTGCGCTGGGCTTCATTAAAAAAAACAGCAATAGAAAGGATGTGATCACAATTAACAATACTTAATTTAGTAGAGCTAATCAAGTATACAGCTTTGCGATTATTTATATTTTTTAAATATATTTAAAGTAAGTAAGCGTTTATTTGTGACTTATAATTTTGCCTGATCTTCGTCGTGTTTTCTGATTCCCCGAATGCAGGCACGTGATTGCTATTTTGTGCCATACACGCTCAGAGTTATGGAAAAAATTGCAAAATTATACCTCCATTAAACTTGGACCATTATGTTAAGATTAGGAGCAGTTAACCGATCGACCTTCCAAATGTTGAAAAGAAAAAAGTCTACTATTTTTAATTAAGGAAAATCAGTTAGCGTCGCGCCAGTGAGTTGATAAAATAAAGTTATGACCTAATTTGAATTACAAGGCAAGTATACAATGGTATATTAAAATCTCAAAATAAAATCATTATTATGCTGGTGAGGATTAAAAACGGAAATTGCTGAGAACAAAGAATCAGAAGAAGTGGTAAAAATTCGAGTGCATGGTACTCGACAGTGTCCCAGATTTGTGAATTTTTTAAGCCCAACTCTGTCACGTACATTATGACCGTTAGTTGACAATACTGATGACATTTTGGCCTCAAATATTCACAAAACTGGATCCCCTGGTAATCGTGCCTTAAGGGTTGTTAATATGACGTATGCTAATCAGTTTGTTCCGGTGTTTTAAATTTTGTTTCTGTTTTTTATTAAAAACGCCACCAGGGGAACTAAACACTGTCATTTTTAGCAGGAGACGTCGACGAAAGGTACAACAAACTAACTGCGTCTGTGCTGTCAAATTTTAATCGTTGTCATCAGAATGGCTGGTCCCAAAACGTTCTTTGCAATTCTAGCGATAGTTTGCCACGTCCATGCGAGCTGCAGCTTACCTGAAAGAGCCGTAGAAGCAGGGTGAGTCTGCTCATTTTAAACTCAGTAACAAAATAACTTCACTGAACTAAATTTCCCGTACGAAATTAAGTTTATTAATTTCTACAAGGTCTTGAGGACACAAACAGGTTGCGTTATAAAAGTTATTTAATATGGGAGAATTTTCGATGCTCAACATCGCGATATAACTACATATTTTGCATGAGATTTGCTAAGGAAAATTATACATGCATGCGGTTCTTGAGCGTGTCGTCGAGTTAGCGGTGTCGTGAATCGTAAACACTCTATTTTTTGTCATGCAATGCATGGCACATTGTAATTCATGCACAGAGACATCTTTTTACTTTGAGAAATCTTACGCCTGTTGATATGCTTGTTGATACGAGCTTATAGCAGTGGGTGGCAAAATTCAGGCCGAAATTAAGTATATAATAAGAATAATATTATAAGAATTCAAAACAAATTTCACGTTCAAAGACAATATTTCTCGCCAAAATTAGTTGTATAATGTCAAGACCCTGTTTTTAATGTCCCACTCAATATTGGAAGGGTTTATAGAGGTAAAAGAAGTCATTTTAGTTAAATTTGCGAATAAAGGTAGATGGTAGATGAGTTAAATGAAATATTATATATATATATATCTGTCGTATTTTGGAATATAGAATGGGTTAAGTCGCGATCAGTCTGACATATATCATGATTCTCTGCTTTTCACAGGCAAAAGGATGAAAACGATCTTCCAACAAACGAGGGTTGTGAACGTGGCTTACCAGGACGAGATGGTACGTGCCTAAAATATACTTGAATACAAGGGATCTTTATATTATGTAGTTCAGACAAACACTGAGGTCAGTTAGGTATACATCTTACTGAAAACATTATGGATTTTTCTGAGATAAGGGGAATCAACAAATGAAAACACATCACTGCTATATTTATTTATTTCCTTTCAACTTTTTTGGGAAAAAAATGAATGCCGAAAATCTCATGTCATAGTTATAAAGTCGTTCAACTCTATTTCTCATAGGGCGAGATGGCCGTGACAGCATAGTTCCAGGTAAAATATTTTTTCTATTTTCCTGCAATCAAATATTTACTATAGATTTTACGATTGGCTTGTATTAGCTTTCTATGTATAATTGTATTTTATACCAAATACTACCAAATACTACGAAAAAAAAAAATTCCGCCAAGTCAAGACATCTTGAGAATCATTATTTGAAAGGTTGAAACTGTAAATTTTCGTTTGTAAATTTTGGACATATATATTTTTATATACGGCTAATTAAAAATAGGTTGCCGTTAACAACGCTAAAACCTTAAACTGTAAGCACGCAAAGAATTTCCATTCAAGTAATTGTTGTTTTGAAATTATATTTAAATCCTCACAATAATAACTCTACGTGATTGACATCTTTAAGTTATATTAATTAGTAAGATGATTAATGTCATATCTATTATTAATAATAGGTTACTACATCTCCTCCTCTGCCAGTTAGTAAGTTTACTTTTCTCGTGTCCGATTTAAAGATTTTTTAGTCCTCTCAATACAGTATAATCCTAATATGAATCTAGCATTTCCAGAATATTTTCTTTCTATTCATTTACTTATCTTATGTGGTATACTCTTGTAAATGTGTCTCAAATGTTGCAATCGATCATAATGATTCTTCTTGTCTCTCGATTCGCGGTTGTCTTTCATTTTCTGTTTCGGTGTTCAAGGGTTCTTCTTGGCGAATAAATGTGTCTCCCTCGGCTGCTGGTGGACTGGGGTTTCAGGGCTTCGTTGATGCTCTTCCGGGTGGTTGACCGTCTTTAGCAGTTTGAAAAGTGATATGTCTCTTCATTTCGTTTTCTGGTCATTCATTTCTCTTGTGCAAATTGATGATAAACATGGTTGAAATCGACTTTACTGACAACTGTGCAATCCTTAAATGCGTTTATGAAGTCTTCGGTGATGGATGTTTGTACGTGTCTTGTTCTTGCCATGGATTGATTTAAAATTCGGAGGTCAAGGCTAACTCGAATGTCGAATGGGATTCTTCGGTTTCGGCTGTACCATGAGGAGGGAACACCACTCGATTGCTTCTTGTTCAGAGACTTTCTCTATGATGTTCTTTTTTGATCTTCTAAAGGCTCTAGTAAATGGTTTAGTACTCTTCTTGGCTTCTGAGCTACCGGTGTTGCATTCTCGTTCATAGAGTAGGTAAATGGATTTCAATGTTTTCTTATCTCTTTTTGCCTTTCCTATTTCGTGGAATCTTCCTTCATACTTTTTGAGGATCTCTTCGAGTTTCGGGTATGTAACGGCAGTGGCGTATGTCTATGCAAATTTTATGTTATTATCATTATTCATTTCAAATATGGTACTATTATTCAGACAGACAAGATTTATCGAATTATAACGTGCCCTTCAGTGGTGGCGAATTTATGTTAAGTCATAGTAAATTACACGGGGAAATTTCAAATTTCAAATACCTTTATACAACAGCAACATCGGTTATTCATTCATAACCGGAATACCTTTCCTATAAAAAAATAATTTAAGTAATTAATTCTACCTTTAAATAACTCCGCATAATTCTATAGGCCCACCCGGGAAAAGAGGTTCTCCTGGATCTCGTGGTGTTCGTGGCCCACCAGGCAATAGTGGAGGCACAGTGTACACAAGATGGGGAAAAAAGACATGCCCAAGTGGAGCAACTCTTATATATTCAGGTACAAGTTGTGCAATAGGAGCATTATAATTAAACATGCAAGCGATAAATTGTGGTAAATCATTCGGCACTTCGATTGGCTACAGACAGGTCGGGATTTAATTTCCCGTATTGTCCCGTGCAATACATGCATAAGGACGCCGAAATGCTTTTAACTCGGTCAATTGATATTTTGCCGTCATAATTCCAGTGAGGTCAATTCGAAATGGAGACACAGTAAATTGCAGCGAGTTAATTGCAAACTGCATGTCCTGGCTTTCTGTTTCGTAGCAAATATACGCAATTTCGTATCATTTGTTCACTCCTGTGCTGCATAAGGGCCCCAGCAATTAAGGTTGACCCCAACTGAAATTACGTACTATGAATACCATACGTGAAACCCACAAATAAAGAAAAAGTTAGATCTGCCCATGGCTAGAAATCTGATACAGTTCAGCAGTTTGCCTTGCGGGCGCACAAATGAGTAAGATGTGTAACACGCATGCGTCTTAGCAGCTTAATGTTTAAACATGGCGGAAGGGTTAAGAGACCATGGAGATATTAGAGGAGTATACACTCAATTGCACAACGCTTCATCCGTCGATTTACTGTGGGGAACAAGTGAAAGAAAGCGGACAAGAAAAAATCAAGTATCGACGTCATTTTACCCCGTAGAGAGACTTGTTTCAAAGCGAATGAAAAAGAACTCGGTAAGAACCAAATGTTTTATACTGTATGTTGGTCTAAAGCTGTTCCCATTTTAAATATATTTTGCTATCTACACTACTAGTGTTTTTTGGGCGAGCAAAGTTCATTAAAACCCAACAGATAATGTATTTGCTATAATTATGTTGTCGAGTTTCCATTCGGCGCATATTTTCTACTGTGGGGATTTGTCAGCCTGTATAAAATGTAAATAATGTTAATTAAATAAGTTTATAGTTTATAAATCCAAAATGGCTTTGACTGTTTGAGTCTAAAATTTTGTTACTCAATACTTCTCACAGACCGAATATTTGGTAAAGTGGAAAAATTATAGTGCCTTTGAAAACAGCTGGGAACATGAGGAAAATTTGACAGAAGACCTTATCAGGTACTAGTATGTTTATTAAATTTAGCCAAATAGCCATGGTTTATTGCTGAGATTTTGTAATTATTGTTGCCTCTTGTAATTGTTCAGGGGCTGATTGTTCAAAAGTGGGTTACCACTAACCCTGGGTTAAAATTTTAACAGTGGGGGCCAGTTGTTCAAAGGTGGGTTAGCACTAACCCCAGGTGAAAATGTAACCCTCTGTTCTAGTTTGTGTATTTCTACATGTATGTTTATTTCAAAACTTCAGAGAGGTGAACTCCTATCTATCCTGAAAAGATCCTTGAAGAATTATTTCTAAATTTATAGACAGGTTGTCAGAAAGTCTGCTTTGAATTTTAGATTAACCTGGGGTTAAACTAACCCAGCTTTAAACAATAGGCCCCAGTTTTAGTTTCTGTATTTCTGCGTGTCTATTTGAAAACTTCTGAGAAGTAAACTCCTATTGATCCAAACAGGATCTCTGAAGAGAATTGTTCCTGCAAAATATTCTTCATATTTCCAAACATGAAGCAGCAGTGCTTTTACCCTTTAATTTGCTTAAATGCCATACATACCGGTACTATAAATTTTCTTGAGTCTATGGATATATAAAGTTTACTTTATTTACAGATCTTATGACCAGCCAAACATACAGCCAGAAAGGTTGCAAAAGAATCTCGACACATTACATGTTGGTATTCTCTTGAAGTTAAAAAGCAGAAGCAAGAAAAACATTACTATTGACTTTGATCATGATTGCTTTCGTTACATATTTAATGGCAAGGGCAAGCAGTCAAAAGATGGGAAATATCTTTTGTTAGACAAGGCTGATTTTGATAGATGTAAATTTGATGGTAATTGGGATACAGTTGGTGATAAAATTGGTGATGGTGTGAGAGTTAAGTATCCTATCAAGGTCAGAACTGTTCTAACAAAATCACCAAGAAATTTTACGGTGGTTAGTGGGAAGCTTCAGGAAAGTCGTCCAATGTTGCTGGAAAAACTGTCATTTGACTTTATTCGTGAGCCTGTGGTACTTCTACATTAAATATTAGGACTAAGATAATATTTTAATATTTACATTGTTATACAACCAACAACAACTAAGGCCTGTTCTAAACGTTGCATTATACATGTGGCAAATGCATTCAAAACAATGGATAATCAGCTAAAAGACCTGATTGTTTCAAATGCATTTTCCGCATGTAAACTGCGACACTTAGAAAAGGCTTAATTAAATGTACAAACTTATTTCATTATGAAATTGTGGTATCTTTATGTAATGTATCACTGTGTCTTGCTAGTAATGAATAGCATTCAGGTGATCTAAATTAGCCAATCAGAAACTAGGGCTACGAGAAAAACTGAGTTATCATTTCCTTCATCTCTTATAACTTCTGTCCTGGAAACTTTTGAATAATTCTATTATTTTTATACAAAAAGATTTTAATTTATCAATCAATTGTTTATTGAAAACTGAATTTCCCTTATAAACACTTAGGGGCAAATGTGCTAACAAATGCTTCCTAGTAAATGATAACTCAGTTGTGTCATGACGTCACATGATATAATCATTTCAGATCATCTGGCTGTAAGAAGGTCAGATAAAAAAATATGATGCATGGTGATTGATAATGGGTACTGTACATATTACCTCATTTCATGTTGGCAAATTTGTCTTAACTGATCTATCAGTTCTGTCTTTCTTTTTTTGCTATATCCATGTGCACTTCTTAATTTTAATTGTTCCCTTAAAGCAGTAGTTGTCATTTTTTCAAAGTCCATTGCATTGACAGTGCTAAAATGTGGAAGTTCTTGCTCCAGTACTACAGAATGTTGTTCATTACAGTCATCACTTGCCTCCGTGCGCAAAGTTTGCCTTTTCAATCTCTGCCGGTTTTCTTTTATTTCATTATTCCAGTACCCCATGTTTGTTTTGTTATATATCCGAGCCTTTCTTTCATGACCGCGCAATTCCCACTGCCGCTGCTCCATTCGCAACACATCCCCAGTTGAGTCTCTTTTATTTGACTTGCGAAGAACGACACTTCGAGCTACATCATTGTTTTTTTCCACGCCTTGACCTGTAAATTGTTTTATGGAGTGATGTAACTCGAAAAATCTGGGGACATGCTGAACCATAATGTGCATGTAAGGAGTTATCCGTTTCCTTTCATACCCTTCCAATTTGCCATTTAATTGTAAAAAAAGTTTGATTCTTGGCCTTAATCCAATATTCAGTTACACTACCTTCTGGCTCCCATTTGTTGATTTGCTGATAAACGACCTGAAAATCTCGCCAAATTTGTGCCACTAAATTGCTTGTCTCTGGATGTAAAAATAAACCCATTTTTTCAGGGAGTTCAGCAAGGAGAATTTTTTTGTCATGCCCCATTAAGCTAGTCCACTCATATTGTCCACTAGTTCTGCCGTTTACATCCCTCTTCTCCCATACGTTAAAGGAAACACCACAAGACCGAATTACCTCAACAAGATTTAGAGATGAACACCACGCTCATCTCCTTTCATGATGTCCATTTCATCTCCTTGTCCCAATTTACACATTCGTTTACAAGGTTTCTAGAAGGACATCAGTAACTCGTAATAAAAGGTGAAGTTCATCGATTATTGTGTGGTTCAAATCAATGTTCAGCAGAGGCTTTTTAGCACAGCAAAAGTTATTTGTTGATTTCTCACACAATTCCTGAATTTCTTCTAAGGATCTGGAAAGTGGGTTCGTGTTAAAGTAACTGTAATGTTGATCCATCCTCCAGCGGTCTATTTTTGGAAGTTTGCACCACGCACACGCATAATCAGAATTTGCTCCTTTGAGGCCAAGCATCAAAAGAATAAATTTATAGTCTCCTCCAAGGAAAAATTCAGTTTTATATCTTGCCCATCAACCTTGATTTTTTCCATTAGAGATTATTTTATTTATTTCCTGAAACACAACTCCAAAAGATTCCTCCATAGTTCATAACTTTCTTTTCCATCCACTACGGCAATTGTTCTATTACCTTTTGCAGACATGACATTTTCGCCTGTTTGAAGAAGAGAAAAGGACAATAAAATGAAATTGGAAGTTCTAGTCATTACTGCACCATCACCACTGATTTTGATCTTGATTGTGTCTGCTGACACATTAAATTCTGGATTCTGTTCAACAAAATCTTGAATGTGTGTGCTAAACATATTTTCAACTGAACTAACTTTGGCTCCTTTGTACTCTCCTTTGAGTGGATCGATATGGCACATTTTATTTAATTCTTTGCGACATTGTTTGACTAGGTAAGATCTTGGTAATCCTTCAACAAGCATGGATAACTCGTGGTAGAATACATCACCAACACAGAATTTGTCCACTAAAAACAGTATTTGCTCTACTTTAGTTTTGTCCTCAGGTGATAAATTATTAAACTTTGGCAAGGATGCATTATTTCTCTCTTCATTGCTTGGGTCAGAGGGCTCACTAGGAATGCTTTGCTCACATTTTAAATTATGAACTCCCCAGAAACAGTTTCTTTAACAGCAAGGCTCTCCAGTTCAATGCCAAATGAACTGGAGAACCACAATGCAACTTGTGCCCGTGACAAAAACGACTTTAGGGTTCTTGTTTTGTTTTTCACATCAGATACTGACTTTCCTTTGTATGCTGATATTCCTATACTATTTTCCAGAATTTGAGCATATTGTTCCAGTTCTCTGTTGTTCTTTTGCAACTCGGTAATCATTGTGTCCTTTTGTTTAATAGTGGTGGCCATCTCATTGTAGAGTTTCTCTTTCTCTTTTTCCAAATTTTCATACTTTTTTCGAAATTCTGTTAGTTCATCATTCACATTATTAAGCTCATTATGCACGTTATTAAGCTCCTCTCGTAGTTTTATGACAGACATAGTCTGGCCCTCAAAAACATGGAATTTGCGAACTCTCTCGTCTAAATCTTTCCTTGCCCTCCCCTTCGTCTTCTTGTACAATTGGTAAACACTGCTAGCAA